TGAGAGTAATTTAGCATTTTAGTTTATCAATACCATACTACCTCAGATACTGCTACTTTAGCCGAGTTGCTATAATTAACTGAATTTTATTTGCTGATTCCTCATTCTTTTAATTTACAATATATCAATATTCAAAGAGAGTGTCACCCATTATGGTGAAGATATATCCTCTAGCAAATCTATAATTAGAACTACAAACAAATACTGATTTTGTTACTATTCTGAATGTCAGAATAATGTTAAACCCTTGCAAATCATTTGCATCTACTTTTTATACTGATGATGGTGATACTTTCAATTATTATTACGATTCTTTTGATGCATGAACCAGTGCTTCATGTAATACATGAAGTACAATTTAATGTAGATGTATATAATTAACTCAATAAATTGCCATGCATAAAGTGGACAGCTTCTAGTCCCATTACCAGAGTTTCTCAAGTAATCAGTTCAACCTGATGCTATCTTTCTGGTAATTACTCATACTAAATACATAATAGTATGGCACCTTTAAATATAGACCTAATTGAGCTAGTAAAGCTTGAAGAGTATAGTGCAGTATAATTGTAACTCTTTTTTAGCTCTTATGCAAAATAGGTTGGAAGAACGCCTAATTTATTTCTTTTGTTCATGAACCTTATTGTCCGACTGAAAAATATAATAGTGAACCTTCAGAATTGAGCTGAATTCAAAAGTTTCAAGGACAAAATGCGCACTAGTTGCTCAACTTGCGCGGACGGTTACTATGTAAATGGAGTTGGTTGTATTGAATGTCCAACTTTCGTTGCCATAGAAGATACTAATTTAAAAAGAAGTAGCTTTGGTATTGATACTGCAAATACTGAAACATGTCATTCTTGAATTGGTGGGAGTAAAATTTGTAATACTATTATGATCATTTTAATTCATCAAAGCAGTGTTGATTTCCAAGTTTATATAAATTCTTTCCAAGCCAAAAATTGTGCTGCTATAACTTAGAGAGAGAAAAACTTCCTTCCACTCTATTCAAAAATCCAGTTACATAATTTCCAACCTTAAAGTAGCAATATGGCACCTATATTAATTATTGCTTTGGCCCTAATCACAATAAGTATAGCATAATTAATTGAGTAAATAACATAAGCATATAATCATAGTTAGTGTCTATCAACAAAGAATGGAAAACTATAAGATCAACCAGTATTATTAGAACAAATGAATGTACAAATTATGCATTATGCTCAAACTTTGAAGGAAGCACTAAGATATTTGGACAAATATCTCTACTAATACATCTTTTCAAGGAGTGTTTGTCATCATATTCTATTACTAAATAAATAATATGATCTTTTACATTTACATTTGCTTCATCAAACGTGACAAGCATAAATATGCAACGCTTAGTTCATACTACGATGATTATAATTAGTATTAATTGAGCATGTTTTTCGATAGAAGAATTCATGGAGCTAAAAGTGAAAAATGGTAGAGAAGGTGTTGAAGAATTGTAATATCACCAAAATAGTATCAAATAATGCTAATTATATAATTCCACATGAACTATTTCAAAAAGGTTTTGAGTGGATCAAATGTACTGTGTATTCAAATTGTGCAAATATTTTCCATTTATACTTCAAAATAATATCGTCGCATGCACTTTGAACAAGTAATAAACACGAGACATCCTTAAACAAATACTTGCTAAATTTCTACAATAAAAACAGTAATAACAAGATTTACAAAAGTGATCAATATTGGAAGCAAGTACAACTTAAAATTAAATAGCTACATAGTTTTTTTGTCTTACTATGATTATTCCATAGTTGATAAGAGTTCTACATTGAACTGATTATTTAGTTAGCTTCAGTGGTGAAGGAAACAATACTAGTCCACAAGAAGCACTGGTTTACCAAGTGAAAAGCGGAAGTTAACATTTAGTTCATGCAGAGAAAAATTATGACTACCATGTTATGCAAGTGTTATATGTGGTATAAGAATTAAATACAGAGGGTATAAATAGTATCAGAATTTTTAATAGCCATCAAAACATGCCAAATTCAGTAGTTAAAGTCAATATATAAGATTATGAGTTTAATACTGAAGCATTCCTATGGCTGTCACATAATACAAAAAATGACTCCTAACAAGAACAATTTTATTCTTGTGTAACAAGAGATAGTTGTAAGTCTTGCTGAACCTTGATCTTATTAGCCAAGCCATTGTAAACTAGAGACTGAGACTGAACGCAGGCTATATTCTCCATGATAAGGACGGCATCCTTTTAAAATAAAACTATGCCTTAAAGCTATAATGTAGATAATTATAGCAC